TTTCCCGTGCTTTAGTGATAAGAAGATTGGCAGCAATAGAAAAGAGTATTGGAGTATTGTCAGGAAGTCTATTATTTTTCTGGGATAGAAAGAATATGACTCTGAGTAAATGGCAGCAAAGGTTCGACTAAAATTACACAATAAATTTTATTTCGAGGTGACCACCCAATTACATATGTTTAACCAATAATATATTTATTGTTTAGATAAAAAACATGAAGAGAACTGTGGTTAAAAATCTCTCATAGAATGCAGTGTTGGAATGGAATCAGATGACCAAAAGAGAAAAAATAGAACTTAGGTTCTGAAGAAATATAAAATGAAGATGTATGACAGAATGATAATTTCTCTTACTGCAATTTATCCATCAAATGACATGCCTTTTTATAGGCTTTACAGAATAACAACTCAACTGAACAGAAGGAAAAAATCTTGGCATTATCCCATACCTAAAATCAGCAACTGAAACATAAAATCAAGCAACAGAAAGATAAGAACTAATTTTTGCAGCAAGACTTAGTCAATGGTAACTCTTCCATGGTAAACTTTGAATCACATTCTAACACTCCCCCTCGATTCAAAGTCACACACACCAAGCTTCAATCTCAGGTAAACATGCTTGTCTCGAGGAAGGGACTTAGTAAGAACGCCAGCAACTTGCTCATCAGTAATGCAGTACTCCAAAGTGATGGAATTTTCAACAACAAGGTCTCGAATGAAATGAACTCTTATATCAATATGTTTAGTCCTTCCATGATGAGTAGGATTTCTAAACATAGAAATTGCAGCCTTATTGTCACAATAAATCTCAGTTGCTTCAAGTTGTTCCTGATCAAGATCAGCAAGAATCCTCCTTAAACAAACAGCTTGACAAGCGGATGCACTAGCAGCTGCAAATTCAGCTTATGAAGTAGATAGAGCCACTGTTGCTAGCTTCTTAGAACTCCAGCAAATTGCAGATGATCCAAGATTAAAAACATAACCTGAGGTGCTTCTCCTATCCTCCAAAGATCCTACTATCTGAATAACCAGCCAATTTAAACTCTGAAACACGACCATACCACAGGCCAAAACTTGTAGTTCCAGCAATATAACGCAACACCCTCTTCGCAGTGCCAAAGTGATGCTTTGTCGGATGATGCATAAACCTGGAAACAACTCCAACTGAGTAACTAATATCTGGCCTTGTGTGAGTCAAATAGATTAGTCCTCAAATAAGGCTTCTGAAGTTCTTCTCATCAACTAGTTCAGTACCATCTTCAACCTGCAACTTCTCATTCAAATTCATTGGTGTGGATGAAATCTTGCAATTGAACATATTAAACCTCTTAAGTAAATCAGTAGTATATTTCCGTTGAGATAAAAATATTCCATCTTCAACTTGCACCACTTCAAGCCCAAGAAAGTAGTGTAACTCCCCCAAATCAGACATTTCAAACTTATGCTTCATGCAATATTTGAATTCAGTAATGAGAAAAGTAGAAGATCCCACATAAATCATATCATCCACATAAAGACAAACAAGGAGAATATCAGTTTTACCAGCTTTCTTCACATAAAGATTTGCTTCATACCTACTCCTTTGAAATCCATTAGCAATAAAGTAAGAGTCTAACTTGCTATACCATGCACATGGAGCTTGCTTCAACCCGTAGAGTTCCTTCTTCAGCTTGTACACCTTTCTTTCTTCACCTTCAACAATGAACCCTTCAGGTTCAGTGACATAGACTTCTTCTTGTAGGACTCCATTCAGAAACGCAGACTTAACATCAAGCTAAAAAACAGTCCAATGCATTTGTGCAGCCAATGCTAGAATTTTCTTCACAGTATCAAAACGTGCAACTGGAGAAAATGTCTCTTCATAATCTATACCTTGTTGCTGTGAATATCCCTCCACGAGCCTTGCTTTATACTTTTGTATACTTCCATCAGCTAGAAACTTTGTTCGAAAGACCCACTTGATTCCAATGGCTTTCTTGTTACTAGGAAGACCCACCAACTCCCATGTGTCATTTTTCTTTATAGCTACAAGTTCTTCATCCATTGCTTTGTGCCATTCTTCTTTTGTTGCTGCTTCTTCAAAACTAGCTGGGTTCGCAACAAATAAAGCTTGGGTAGCGTCATAAACTTCAGTCAGCGGTCTGAACCGTTATGGAGGATTTTTAGCTTCAGAGGAGCTCAAACTTGAAGAAGATGAGTTTGGTGACAATGATGGGCTTGAGGTGTTAGAAACTGATGCTTGTTCTAGCTCAACTGGTGGAGCTGCACTTTGAGTTTGAACTTCAACACGTTCTGAATTTGCACAAGGCTTTTTCCCACTCTATGCCTCAAATGGTTTTTGGTTTTGAACAGCCTTTGTCGGTGATAAATTCAGCAAGTACACAGCGGTTACAACACCTTCTGCCCAAAAACCATTAGGCAAATTCTTGCACTTTAACAAACTTTCTTGTCATCTCTACCACGGTTCGGTTTTTGCGCTCTGCCACGCCATTTTGCTCCGGGGTGTATGGAGCAATTAGCTCCATATGCAAGCCATGTGCTTCACAGAATTGATTGAATTCAGCAGACAAAAATTCCCCTCCTCTATCAGTGCGAAGTGTTTTTAAGAAACTCCCACTTTGTTTTTCAACAAAGGCTTTGAACTTCTTGAAAGCTTCAAATGCCTCAGACTTGAATTGCAGAAAATAGACCCAACTCATATGACTATAATCATCTGTAAACAGCAAGAAATATCTACTCCCACCAAATGATTTAGTCTGCATAGGACCACACCAATCAGCATGCTCAATTTCAAGAATGCTAGATGCTCTTTTAGAGTTACTAGTAGGGAATGATCTCTTACATTGCTTCCCCTATATGCAATCTTCACACATGTCCAAAGACTCAATTCTAGGCAATTCGTAAACCATCTCTTTCTGGCTCAACAATTTCAGACCATTCATATACAAATGTCCATACCGAAGATGGCAAAATCTTGACTCAAGATTTTCTTTCACAAGAAGATCATGATTCTCCACATTAGAAACTTTAAGTGGAAAAAGCCTATTGCCAAACATTTTAACATTAACAACAACCTGATTTGATTTTTTATGTCTAACCACACAAAAGTCTTCAATCAAAGAAGAGAGAATATCCACTAGCCATTAGTTGTCCAATACTGAACAAATTCTATGGTAAACTTGGAATAAAGTAGACATTATAGAGAAGTTTAACATTACCGTTTCCACCTCTCAAGGCTACAGAATCTTTTCCCTCCACTTGCACTTGTTTACCATCTCCAAGTGTCACCTTCTGTTTGAAATTCTCATCAAGATCTCTGAATAAAGACCATACTCTAGTTATGTGATTAGAGCATCCACTGTCCAAGTACCAAACATCATTGTCAAGAGCTGCAACTTCTTGAAATGCCATGAAAAGCTTGGTTTCCTCCTCCTCTTCTTCCATGACATAGTTAGATCGCTGCAATTTTCTACAAAATGCCTTAATATGCCCAAATTCCTTGCAATAGTAACTTTGAACATTAGCCCAATGACCTTTTGACATTTCAGTTGCTTGTGAATCAACATTTTGCTCATGAACACGTCCTCCTCGACCATAGCATCTACCAGCTCCTCGGCCATTACGACCCCCACTACCACGACCTCTTCCAGTTGATTGCCCCCCTTCACTTGAAAAGCCTTTTCTTCAACTTTCTCTTCTTGTCGGTTTAATCTTGCCTCATGGGATTGCAACGATCCCATAAGCTCATCAAACGAGTACACTGCCAAGTCTTTTGACTCCTCAATGGCTGCTACAACATGATCAAACTTAGTAGTCAAGCTCTGCAGTACCTTTGCAACGACGGTTGCATTAGCAACATCTTCACCATAGGATCTCATTTGATTGACAATTGCTCTCACTCTTGAAAGAAAATCCTGAACTGATTCTCCATTCTTTATTTGCAAAGTTTCAAAATCACGGCGAAGAGATTGAAGTTTCACCGTAATTACCTTCGAAGATCCTTGGAAAGCCGTCTGCAAAGTTGTCCATGCTTCTTTAGCCTTATTTGCAGCAGCAATTTTGGAGAAGATCGACACATGAACTGCTTGCAGGATGAAGAATAACGCCTTTGAGTCCTTCTTCTTGTTCTCTCTCAGCCTTGCTTCATCATCAAGCTCTGAGTAGCCATTCTCTACCAAATCCCAAAGATCCTGAGACCTAAACAAAGTTTTCATCTTTATGCTCCAAAACTCATAGCTTCACTAGTAAAAACGGGAATCGATGGTTGAGCCACATTAACGAGATTGCTGTTAACCGCCATGAGTGATACGCCTAGTTCCAATCGAACTTGGCTCTGATACCACAATGGTCGAATGGAATCAGATGACCAAAAGAGAAAAAATAGAACTTAGGTTCTGAAGAAATAAAAAATGAAGATGTATGACAGAATGATAGTTTCTCTTACTGCAATTTATTCATCAAATGACATGCCTTTTAATAGGCTTTACAGAATAACAACTCAACTGAACAAAAGAAAAAAATCTTGGCATTATCCCATAATTAAAATTAGCAACGGAAACATAAAATCAAGAAGCAGAAAGATAAGAACTAATTTTTGCAACAATACTTAGTTAATGGTAACTCTTCCATGGTAAACTTTGAATCACATTCTAACATGCAGATGAGCAATATACAAAACAAAAATTTTTGCATGTGTACCAACAAAATAAGGACTAGACAGCCAAAGCACCGAACGAAGATAAATGAAAATGTTACTTTCATTATTCAAAATTCGCCGGTAGTGTTCGCCTTATATAGCGACGGCGGAACTCGCCAGAGGATCCATGATGAGGATGTTGTTATTGTTAAGATACCGCAGGCAGATCTTAGAAAGAACTTAGCTAGGTTTTGGGCAAGGAAAATGTTTGAACCATTTTTCTACGGTGGCCGGGCCCCCAATATCAGGAAGGCCATGAGCCGACGCTATCATGGCCATGAAAGCAATTAATTGCATGAAGAAAGGTTACTATTTTTGCCATTTTGAACCATTGATATTAACGGAAGTTGGGAAAATAAAAACCTTGCATTATTTCATTTCGCGTGCCAGCATGGCACGTAGCTTTATTGAGTATACATGAAACAGGAAGTAAAGTAAAAGTTGAAAATTCGACACAATGCAAAGGGACAAGAAATCCATGGGCCAGTAACACACAAGAGTGACACTGTCACTTTCTTCATTCATCCCTGGGTAGCATGATTTTAGCACTTGGGTAATAGTCGAAGTCAAAAATCATCTCTTGAACATCTCCAACTGTGGGATCAATATAGTAAATCCTGGACGAAATAATTCCTTGCGCCATCCGGAATTCACCCGATCCACCGATGACTGAAATGTCGCACCACCCTTCCGCCGGCGCAAGACGCCCCAAGGCGGTGAGAGTGCTGCCCTTGAATTCGCCGTCGACGAAAACGAAGCTAATAGCTTCAAGGATACCGACTTCTGTGTGTGAGGCAAATACACCGAGCCCTTGAACCCGAGCGACAATCGTGGCGTTCGGGTTCTCGTTCATTGGCTGCTCGGCCATCGGACCGTCTATGACTCTCACTAAGCCAAAGCTAGTCGGCGTGGAGTCGGTGGTGGTGGCCTTAGCAACCGCGACACTCGCCGGAGGGTCCATAGTGAGAATGTTGTTAAGGTACAACCGAAACTTTGTGTGCTTAGGCATTGCATTTGGGAATCGTTTGGGCCATTCTTCCACGGCTTTCGGGTTTCCATCTTCAGGAAGTCCATGACCTAATGAGGCCATTGTCATGAAAACAATGGCAAGAAGCAAGGCTACCATTATCGCCATTTTTTTTGGTCGATCAGATCTTAAACTTTTGTATGATGATTTTCTCGAGTGTTTTTCTTTTTTCGGGTGGTGGGAGTAACGAAGGATGCGTTATTACATATATATACGAGAGAGTTTGATGGACATTATAAGGAAAATCAATGATGCCAAGTCATGCATGGTTTGGTGAAATTATATAATGAGATCGTGCCATTCACCTAACTTTGTGCAAAATTATTACTCTACGTGTTCCATAATTAATAATTTGTCTTTTTTTAAATATTTCAATAAGTAAGACAATAGATTTTTACGTCTCAAAATAATTATCTAATTTAAATTTTTATTTTTAATATAAATTTAATTAAAAGTGTTCAAAGATAATCATTTCGCAAAAGAAGAAATACAGTATGTTGGAACGAAGCGAATAGCAGTAGCTAAGAGCTAGAAGTAGAAAAAAGACAGAGAAAATATGTACTCCACTTATCCCCGAAATTATTGTCCAGTTTAGATTTTTATTTTTAGTAAAATTTAAACTAAAAGTAAAAAAAACTCAAACTGGACTATAATTTTGGGATGGAAGGAGTTTATCCTAATTTTTTTCTTTTTTGGTGAATTTATCTTAAATTTTTAAACGTACCAAAAATGGAAAAACGGAGAAAAGACTAGGAGACTGAAAAAAGTAATGGAGAAAAAAAGAAAAACCATGTTTTCAAATTGGGATTGAGCAGCGCTTCTCAATTATTGACCTAAAGTTTCTTTTTCATTGTGCCCTTCATTTCGAGGAATTTGGGACACCACATGATGCACGGGCGGCGACACCAAATCAAGATAAAATGCACTCTTTCGTCTTCATTGAAAGTTAAAGGAAAAAGAAAACATGTACAACACATGTTTCTATTTTACCAGATTAACCACCATTCAATCAAGATAGGCATTTTCGTTTTTTTTTCGAAGTGATAAGGACTTAAGGCCGATTTCTTGACAATTTGTTTTCATAAACAGACTCGTCGTCAAGACATATGCTTAAGCCTTAGCGTTTATCTTAATTAATGCGACAAAATCCAGAGACGTAAAAAAAAAAAAAAACTAGACGTACGTACGGTGAGTTATGTATCCCTTTTACCCTATTAAAGCAGAATACAAGATGTTGATGTGGCAACTTCTTATTAAAAATTTTTGGCTCCAAATTTACCATATTATATTAACCATTCTGTCACGTATCATCCCTTTTTAAAAGAAAAAAAAATTCTTATCTGGAGAAACAAAAACTACTTTACAAAAATAACTACATAATTTTAACTCCTAACATTTATCATTTATCAATCAAATTAAAATAGCATTTAAATTTATTCATAAATTTATCCCCTTTATTACTCCACATTCTTTTGTATGATTTCTACATCGTTGTACTTTTTAATATTTTTTCTCCTTTGGCGCATGTTTTTTTTTATTTTTATTTTTATTTTTGGCTAAAAAGGGGAAAAAAATCAAATGTGTAGCTATTTTATCTTTTCTAAATCAAGAATTCATTTATTTATTAACATAAAATTAAAGTAAAAGGGTGCTCGAGCATTTACTCGTGCCAAGCATCTAGTTGTAATTTATGAAAGAGTCAAAAGAACCCAATTAAACTTAGATCTTAATTTTCCTTTTTGGCCTTATAATAATAAATCGTGGATACTTATAGGCTCTAGCCGTTCCGAATCATTCTTTATTTCTTTTAATTAGGTTGTTTAAACATATCATTATAGACAATATTCACTGGCATTGCTCATTGAAACAAGAATAATATATAAGATAACCAAACTATCCTCATTGCAGGATGGAATACAATAATTTTCCTTTATTTTTTTCGCGAGTCTTGTATGTCGCAGAACAATTTTTTTCTTATTTTATATACACTTATGATCTGTAATTTTTTAAATTATTTTTTGGTATGATGGTATGGAAATTAGGTGTGATCTAGAATAACAAGAGAAGAGGTGAATGAATAACATTTATGTCAATGTCATTCAACCATTTAAAAGTAAATGGCTTGTGACTATTACCAATCCGTAAATGTTCAATTAAGAAGCTATCGTGGGGCAGTTGTGAGGTCGATGATTCTTCGATGTGTCAATTCTTTTCCCAAATGGTTTTGCATTTTATATCTCCGTCGAGTAGAGACGATATGATGATAACATTCTGTGTCAATCAGTCTTATTTTCACTCATTTACATGTTCTCCAGAGTTTGCACCTTTTAAAAAACATCAAGTGTTTATTTTTTTTATTAATGTTCAACTTTTAATTATGATTACTTTACTTTGTTTATCCTTATACTTAAATAAAAGACACAGTAGGCAAGAAATAATACTCAAGAAATAATCAAGGATTACCGTCAATTCGATCTTGTCCGTCGGATGCGGTTGATGTGATGTCAGCGACTTATTAAGGGCAAAAACGGGAATTCAAAAATTTAGTTTATTCCAATTAAAAAATAAATTCGTAACCTTTTGAAAAAAACAAACCCCTAACCTAGAAAAGGAAGTCATTTCAGGATTTAACTTTGGAATCCCCACTCCTAAAAACTATATATTTACAAAACCTGAAAGTTTTTGGTTAAGAAACAGCAACAAAACGACTTTGTTTTGTGGGTTTCTCTAGGGAAAAAAATAAAAAAACAAAAAATAACTCACACCGTTTAAAATCCCAAAACAACCCCTGTCATTGTTCCCAATTTTTTTCCCACTAATAACCTCCATAAGGCTGTGCTCTACCTACTCAGTCAGGTCCCCCTTCGTCGATTCAGCCGCCACTGCCGCATCCCTCTCTACATCCTCCGCCACCACTAAACCTCGAAGATATATTTTCCTTAAACATGCTTCTCCAATTCGTACCATCCCGATTCCACCTCCACAAATTTAACCAAACAAAAAACCCTAAGTTCCACCGGGAGTCACCCCGTCGAAGAGATTTTGCAGGAATGACTTCCTTCACTTGTATGAGATCAAATTCATGGGGGAGCAACCGCATGCATCATATCACGGTGGACATCATGACGGAGGAAGCGAGGCGGAGCTAGGTGTTTGGACGGAATAGGATTAGGAAATTACCTTTTTATTTGATTTGGAGTTGTATGTGTAATAGGCATAACAAATTACTATTTAATTTTTATTTATATATTTCCATAAATTTGGAATTGTAATATGAATAGGAATTCAGTTCCTCTCTGATTTCGGATTTGTTTTGGGATGAGAATAGAAATCCCCTGTCGGCCAGCATGTCTATAAAAACCCCTAACAATCTCACAACTAGGATCACAAAAGGCTTCCTTCTTCAGCTTACTAGTTTCTTTGATTTCTTCGTCTTTGATTCAGGTAAATCTTTTTTAACCTTTTAATTTCTATTATTTTTTTTACCTCTATACGGTAGAGGAATCTTGAATATTTGTAAAGATTTTTCTCTGGTTGTTTTCCAAATCCTACAAACAGGTACTAATTTTGATTCCCTTATTTTTTCCGGTTTTGAAGTTGTGAATTTGTTGTTAATTGAGCGAGGTTGTTAATAATTTTAATGGTTTAAAAACTAATAGACTGTCTCGGAAACAGATATTGCAATGGTTTGAGTTGCAGACTCAATTCCAGCCGAATTACATAAAGTCTCATTCTCTCACAGGATATTAGCACAAGGGTAAGGTATATGTTTCTAATTTCTTTTCCCTACAATTAAAGGGCCTGATGGTGTAGGATGTTTGGAATATTTTTTAGAAAAAAATCTAATCACAATGGCTCTATATCCGAAATTTGATTATCATGGGTTTGTTCACTTATTGTTGTCAATAAAAACAATTTATGTTCTGGTTTCTAGAATAATTTCTGCTTGTCCTTGGGAGAACGTTTTTACGGAGTTATATTATTCTCTAGAGGTAGATCATAATTAGATGAGAGGAAGCCGAAAAGTTTTGACTTGTGGCATGAGATTCAGTCAGAGGTTCTTGGAGAGGCAAAATTATGTGTTAGAAAATAGATTTTGTTGTGTTCTGATTTTGTGGGATTAGCTTTACCTTTCTAGACCGGTGTATATACAGGTGAACTATATTATTGCTCAAGGTAAATAAATATATATATATATATATCAACTTTTTCAGGCATTGAGCTCTTTTGTGGGTTTTACACTGTGCATGTGATTCTAGATGTTCTTCTGCTATATTTCAGCACCACTGATGATAACACTCAGAGCCGATACCTTTTAGCTCATAGATAACTAATCAGGATAAGTTTCTCATGTCAAAACTTGTGCCTGAGTTTCAATGATTAATTCCTCATACAGTTTATTCAACAAGTCATAGGACTTGTATAGTGATCCATTTATGGTTCTTTGACAGTTCAGTTAGATTATTTTTCTGTGCATAAATAAATTTGATATAGTCATTGGATGTTATTCCTCTTCTACTAACATGAGTTTTATTTTGAGATTGCCATAGATGAGGCTTCCATGTCGGTTATTTATTGGAACTTTTCTTCCTCACAAACTGTATAACTTTTAACATGCCTATCAATGAAGTAAATCTTTGATCACTCAATTGTCCAGTATAGTTTTTGAATGGTAGAGTACTTAAGGTTTTGGGTACCTGTGTTTTGCATCATTGGTATGATCTGCTTGTCCTTTTGTTAAAAGAAAAGTTCAACTTTCTTTGCCAAATGAACTGGTAGCAATGTCCAAGTTGCTGCTTTAGCAGAATCTAGAAATAGACTGCATTGCGGTATTCTATTGTTATTTCATGTTATCTTTTTTGTTCTTACTGAAGAACTTACAATCTCTAAGTTATAATATTACTAGATGTTTATGGTTTCCTCTGTCTGCAGATTCCGATGTATGATTGTCTCAAGAATTTGCATTTTACATTTTTTTTTGTTATTTGAGCTACTGGGAATCTAATAAGGATCATTACAGTCCTTGATTTGCTACCTACTTTACAATCCAAAACTTCTAGCTCTCTGTCCACTTCCGCTTGGTGAAACTAAGTTGTAGCAAGGCTAAAGTGGATGTGAACTGAAGTAGTAGATTCAGAAGCAGTTCGAGAACATCAGTGCGCTAATACACTATGTTAGATGATAAAAATGTTGCCTTTGGGAAAGTTACAGGTTCTTGGCCGTGATATAACAATCTAGAG